TTTTTTTAAAAAAAAGAAAGATAAGTTTGTCCAAAATCATTGAACCACAACCAAATTCAAACTTAAACTGCCTATTCCTAAGATGTATCTATATTATTTTCAAAGTGAAAGGGACATAACTCTGCCAAAAAATCATCGAACCATGACCAAATTCCAACTTGACCTGCCCATTCCTTTGACATATACATATGTCAAATTTGAGTTGAATATGTAACACTGTTGGGTAGATAATGAACAGAAACTGTAAATTTCATATTTTTTTTCAAAGTGAAAAGGGCATTACTCTGCCAAAAATTATTGAACCATGACCAAATTCGAACTTGACCTTGGCATTCCAAAAAAAATATCCATATGTCAAATTTGAGTTGAATGTGTTGTACTGTTGGGGAGAGATAATAAACAGAAACTGAAAATTTCATATTATTTTCAAAGTAAAAGGAGCATAACTCTGCCAAAAATCATCGAACCATGACCAAATTCAAACTTGACCTGTTATTTCTCATGGACATATCCATATGTCAAATTTGAGTTGAATGTGTTTGTACTGTTGGGGAGATAATGAACGGAAACTGAAAATTTCATATTATTTTCAAAGTAAAAGGGGCATAACTCTGCCAAAAATCATCGAATCATGACAAATTTGAACTTGACCTGTATTTTCTCATGACATATCCATATGTCAAATTTGAGTTGAATGTGTTGTACGGTTGGGGAGATAATGAACGGAAACTGAAAATTTCATATTATTTTCAAAGTAAAAGGGCATAACTCTGCCAAAAATCGTTGAACCATGACCAAATTCGAACTTGACCTGTATTTTCTCATGACATATCCATATGTCAAAATTTGAGTTGAATGTGTTGTACCGTTGGGAGATAATGAACGGAAACTGAAAATTTCATATTATTTTCAAAGTAAAAAGGGGCATAACTCTGCCAAAAATCATCGAACCATGACCAAATTCGAACTTGACCTGTATTTTCTCATGACATATCCATATGTCAAATTTGAGTTGAATATGTGCAACCATTACTAAGATAATGAACGGAAACTGATGATGACGGAATGACAGAATGACGGAATGACGGAATGACGGAAGGACGGAAGGACGGAACAGGGTAACACTATATGCCCCGGCCATTACATGGCGGGGGCATAAAAAGGCAGTAGCATTTAATTCTCTATAATTACAACATGAAAATCATATGCATTCTAATTTGCCATATGTGTAACTGTGACAAATAGAAGCTGTTATCGATAGAGACAATATGAAAGTATTGTTGATATTTTTGTAGATCATTAATCAATACATTTGAAAAAATAAATAATTTTGATTAATTGGAAAGGAAATGGAAATAACTAGAGGAGAATCAATTGTCCACAAATTATGAAAATTCACCAAAAACATATACAAAAGGAAGAGGCCATAATTCTGACACTAAGCCGTTCTTGTATAATGGAAACATTTCTAATGGTCAGATAACTTTACCTTTTTGTTTTATATTTTCATAATTTTCTCAGAATATGTCATACATATTCACTTCAAACTAGAAATATTTGTTGAATAACAAGGCTAAACTTCTGCCAAAATGTTTATCAGAATTGTACCTCATTCTCATTACTATCAAGTACTGAGAAAAGCTGAGCACGAGGCTCTGAGGTGAGTTCTTGATCCTTAAAGGGACTCCACTAAAGTTTTTTGACATAAGAGGACTGGTTATAATTAATACTGTGTGTCATTTCATGTAGGTCTAGACCAATAGCTTGTGTTCAAACTTTAAGACCATTCTCTCATACACAAAAAGAACCGGTGTAAAACTGCCGATAAAAGGGATAGGGACTACATGTTTATGCGGCTGTCATTTTTTCTCCCTCGATTTAAAAGATATTGTTGCCCTAAAAAAGCTTTGTAAAGTATCGCATTTTACTAATATTTTTCTTAATTATTTTTTTACTTATATGATGCTAGAATAACACCTCACATACACTAAACGCCGCCGGTTCCATCTATATCAAGTGATAAAATTTATATAAGACTAGTCAGTTGTAAACAGCATAATGACATCATCCTTAGTTCGCAACTCATTCATAAAGGTGCTCGAATGAAATCATTTTAAACTGACATTTGTGGGGTTTAAAGAATGACTTATCAAACACTGATGTAAATTCAAAACAATACAGCCTGACACTTAAAATTTAAATTGTTGAAAAGTTGATAAAATCATTTGAATAATAAGGTTAAACATTGTTTTCTAATAATTTTTATTTTGTTTCATAACTTTTAAACCTTAGCGTTAGTAGGGTGTGAAATAGAACAATGTTTTACAAAAATTGGCAGCATAGTAATGTCTACTAAGTAAAATAGCATTCGTCATTATGAGAGAAAATTTACCACTCAGGCCTACAGCCTTGTGGTCAATTAAACTCTAAGAAGCAGAGGGTGCCAACAAGTCTGTCAAATCTTTATATTATTCATAATTTCTTTTAAACTCAATATAACTTAATTTGAAAAGAAAAAATATTTTGGATAAAAAAAATGTTAACGGCCAACCTTACCAAAACTCAGGTATGGGTCGCAGAGGGGATACAAAGATAATTTTAAGGCTTGCTGATGTATACATGGATTAATAGCTTGATATTTAAATCTTTTGGAACCTATACAGAAATTTCTCTTCATCCAAGTTATAAATAAATGAAATAAAGAAATATCTGGCTTTGCAAAGGGATTTCTTTTACAGTCCAACCAAAGTTATTCGACAACCCTTTATTCAATACCCAATATTATCCAAAGTAGATCGGCAGTACTGTTTTTATCTCTATATTATTAGTTATAAAGAATGTTGACAGGTTATATGGGCCTATATAAATGGTTGTTTGGAAATACAACGCCGAGCCGCTAAGCGAGGGTTATATTGCAAACAACCATTTATATTTGGCCATATAACCTGTCAGGAATATTTATAAGGAATTTATAATACTGCAAACTTCTTTTTTAGAGAAAAAAGTGAGATTTCTTTATCAATTGACAGCAGCCATGTATATAAACGTCAACCGGCTCAACTTGTGAAAAAATTTCTAATAACCGCATGTGTGTGTATTTAGACAATGGTGATAATTATTCTTGTTTTTTTTTAAATTTCTTTACTACCGAAAATCACCTGCAAGCCAGTTATTTCTCATTTAATTATTGGACAGTTAAAAGCATTCAATTTACTAATTTTTAAATTAGAGTGAAAGTAAACAATTAAAATAGAGAAATAAATAAACAAGCAAATACTACCATGTTTTTGTATATGAATACTGAAAAATTTCTTTTTCTATTTCAAATCAGTGCATTATGTCCACTAACAAAAGATATTTTAATAATGAATATGTATCTTATTTATGATTAAAACTTATATACACTGTGTTGTTACTTTAAATGCTTGAAGATAGTTTTCATGTAACTACATGTTCTACATAATGGAGAATAAAATGCAAATATTCATGCCTTCAATATAATGCCAATAAAACTTTAGTTTGTACACATCTTTTGTGTTCGTTTTTTTTCGACTGACTAATGGAAACAAGTGTGTTATAAACGGTACTTTTGCTATGATTGGCATATGACAAAAAAGTTGAATATTTGTTGTCAATCACTTTATACGTATTTTGATTATTCAAACCCATCAATTATCAAAAATGAATTTTCAATCCAAAGCCATTCGAAATATCAAGGATGGACTGTATTTTATTATAATCACTGTGTCCCAACTTGTTATCTATAATGAGACGTACCTGTGACATCCTTGAGTAGTTTTATATCGATACACTGTGTCCATCTCTCTCCGCACTGGAGCAACTCCCAAATCTGACAAATCTTCATCAATGTCACAAAACCATCCAAATTCCAACATAAATCCATCAAACACAACTTCTGACATCAATCTAGAAATCTAGCCAACATGTTGCAAGGATTTTCTGAAATATCTCTGGGGTTAACAGAACAACATTGCAATCTCAAAAAGTAACAGTATAACCTATACAATATTTCCATTAAACAGATACAATTCTAAGTTTTATTTTTGCGAGACTGTCCAGCTTTAAAGGTAGAGGAAAATGTGCCTTAATGGCATTGTCTTGGACAAAGACAGACACCTAATAAGAGTAGAACCACCAACTTTCCAGTACATAGCTAGTTAAACAACTAGAAATGGCAATGCCTTAATCAAGACTTACTTTTGACTTCAAAAGCAAATTTTACCTGACCATACAAAGTGTTCATCTCACTCCACATTGAAACAACTTCCATAATCACAAATCTGCCAGCCCAGAAGTGTAGAAAGCTATTCCATACCATATCCTTCTTGCGAGTATCATAGTCGCTGGACCTCTCGAAGAATTGATAGTCTCGATCAACTTCCACCATGCATGTCAAGTTCTTCATTACTCTGTCACAGGTGTGCTTTTACCATCCACTTTCTGACATCTATCCATCATCACATGTGATGCCACTTAAGCCATTCAGACTCCATGGTCTATAGGTTTACTGAAAAGTCACTGGGTTAACAAAACAACATTCCAATCTCAAATTGTAAACATTGACCATATTTTAAACAAACTCTTAACTAAACCAAAAAAGATAGTTAAGTTGGTTGTCTAAGTCATATGGCGACTGGCCACCTTTATTGGTAGGAAATATGCCCCAAATGTACATTGTTTCAGGCAAGGGCTCGTACCAGAGTAGAGCAACCATTTTTCCAGTCTACCTAGTTCTATACCTAAGCTACAAAGACAATTCCAATCAACTGAATGTGTAACTGATTTATTACTAAAGCTATTGAAAAATTGGCACTCCAGCTGTCCCTGTGGGGAAACTTACACGAAACTCAAAATAGATAATTTTAAACCAAATGCTCTCATGTCACTTTTCCAAGCACAATCACACCTTCAACCAATGTCATAAAAATCAGCTTCAACCAATGTCACACAACCATCCACATTTCTGACATAAAATCCAATCATCACAAATTCCCAACAATCAATCTTAGAAATTCTGCCAACATTTTGCATGGGTTTTTCTGAAATGTCACTGGGGTTAAAACAGAACAACATTGCAATCTCAAAAAGTAACCTAAGTAATGTTTTCTATTAAACAAATACAATTCTATCTTCTATTTTGGTGACTGTCCAGCTTTAAAGGTAGAGGAAAATGTGCCTTAATGACATTGTTTCGGACAAAGACAGACACCTTTTAAGAGTAGAACCACCAACTTTCCAATACATAGCTAGTAAGAAAACAAGAAATGGAAATGGCTTTATTGAGACTTACTTGGGACAAAGACAGACACCTTTTAAGAGTAGAACCACCAACTTTCCAATACATAGCTAGTTAGAAAACAAGAAATGGAAATGGCTTTATTGAGACTTACTTGGGACAAAGACAGACACCTTTTAAGAGTAGAACCACCAACTTTCCAGTACATAGTTAGCTAAACAACTAGAAATGGAAATGCCTTTATTGAGACTTACTTGTGACTTCAAAAGCAAATTTTACCTGACAATACAAAGTGTTCATCTCTCTCCACACTGAAACAACTTCCAATCTTACAAATCTGCCAGCCCAGAGGTGTAGAAAGCTATTCCATACCATATCCTTCTTGCGAGTATAAAGTCGCTGGACCTCTCGAAGAATTGATAGTCTCGATCAACTTCCACCATGCATGTCAAGTACTTCATTACTCTGTCACAGGTGTGCTTTTACCATCCATTTCCTGACATCTATCCATCATCACATTTAATGCCACTTAAGCCATTCAGACTCCATGGTCTATAGGACTACTGAAAAGTCACTGGGTTAACAAAACAACATTCCAATCTCAAAATGTTAACATTAACCATATCTTAAACAAACCCTTAGCTGAACTAGAAACAATTGTTTAGTTGGTTTTTAAGTCATATGGCGACTGGCCGACCTCCTTTATTGGTAGGAAAAATGCCCCAAATGTTCATTGTTTCAGGCAAGGGCTGGTTACCAAACAGATTATATCAACCAATTTTCCAGTCTACCTAGTAATAGAGACTTTAAACCTACAAAAGACAATTCCTATCTACTGAATGTGAAAACTGATTTATTACTAAGCTATTGAAAAATTAAGCACTCCAGCTGTCCTGTGACTTACACAAACTCAAAATAGATAATTTACCAATGCTCCATCATGTCACTTTCCAGCACAATCACACTTCACCAATGTCATAAAAATCACTTCACCAATGTCACACAACCATCCACATTCCGACATAAATCTAGCCAACATGTTGCAAGAGTTCACTGAAATGTCACTGGGGTTAACAGAACAACATTGCAATCTCAAAAAGTAACAATGTAACCTTAGCAATTTTTCTATTAAAGATATAAAATTCTATGTTCTATTTTGGTGACTGTCCAGCTTTAAAGGTAGAGGAAAATGTGCCTTAATGACATTGTTTCGGACAAAGACAGACACCTTTTAAGAGTAGAACCACCAACTTTCCAATACATAGCTAGTTAGAAAAGAAGAAATGGAAATGGCTTTATTGAGACTTACTTGGGACAAAGACAGACACCTTTTAAGAGTAGAACCACCAACTTTCCAATACATAGCTAGTTAGAAAAGAAGAAATTGAAATGGCTTTATTGAGACTTACTTGGGACAAAGACAGACACCTTTTAAGAGTAGAACCACCAACTTTCCAGTACATAGTTAGCTAAACAACTAGAAATGGAAATGCCTTTATTGAGACTTACTTGTGACTTCAAAAGCAAATTTTACCTGACAATACAAAGTGTTCATCTCTCTCCACACTGAAACAACTTCCAATCTTACAAATCTGCCAGCCCAGAGGTGTAGAAAGCTATTCCATACCATATCCTTCTTGCGAGTATAAAGTCGCTGGACCTCTCGAAGAATTGATAGTCTCGATCAACTTCCACCATGCATGTCAAGTTCTGCATAACTCCGCCGCAGTCCACTTTCTGACATCTATCCATCATCACATTTGATGCAACTCCATGGTCTGAAAGATCACATCCATCATCATAATTAGTGCAACTCCTTGGTCTGAAAGATCACATCATCTATCTTTGAATTTGATGTGTGAAAGATCCATCATCACATTTGGTGCAAATCCATGGTCTGAAAGATCACAGGGGTATCAAAACAACATTCTTATCTCATAATTTTAACATCTACAATGTTTTTACAAATAACTATCCAACTAAACAGACAACTACTTGTTTTTTTAATGGTTCAAAAGTTATGTGGGGGGCCGGAATGAAAAAATACCATTAAAAATGCAAGGGGTAGCAAACTGACATTAATGAATAGAACCCACTGACCTTTTCCAGTCTAGCCCTAGCTAGCTAAAGACAATCAACTGTTTATTCTCAACTGAAATAAAATAATCTTTTTAAGCTCAGTTCTTTTCTTGAAAACCCCCTATTCAAAATCAAGTTAAATATAGTAAAATACTCAATAATACCTGAAAATGTTCACCAATTTACACAACACAAATTACAAATTGTGTACAAAAAAAATGTTTCACTTATAATAAAGACCTAAAAAAAAAAATGAAGGTTTAGTAAAAATACCCCGATTGCTCCCATTATGCCTCATTCCAGCACATACACTGTCATCATCAATATTTGGTGCAACTCCTCGGTCTGAAAGATCACATCATTCATCATATTTGGTGCAACTCCATGATCTGAAAGATCACATCCATCATAACATTTCATGCAACTCCATGGTCTGAAAGATCACATCCATCATCACACATTTGATGCAACTCCATGGTCTGAAAGATCACAGGGGTAACAAAACAACATTCTAATCTCATCTTCAATATTTTTACAAATTACTTTCCAACTTAACAAACAACTTCTTGTTATTTAATGGTTAAAAGTTATGTGCCAGATGAAAATACAGTAAACTCCACTTATAACAAACAAACTCATTGGGACATTCAAAATTTGTTCCTTATATCCAGAGTTCCTTGTAAGCATATAGCAAATTAGTTCCTTGTATCAGGAGTTTTTATAGCAAAGGGATTTACAAATAATGAACTGATCGTTTACCATCGTCCTCCATTTTGAAGAGCATTTGATTAAGAACAAGAGCTGTCGGTAGGACAGCAACGCTCCACTATTCTTAGTGCTTGATAGTAAAAAAAAAATGCTTAAAACAGTTACCTCCTCCTGTTTACAGGTTGGGATAATGATGGTGAACAAGTGTGCAAAGTTTCAAAGCCATATGTCAATGGACTTTGAAAATATTTGAGGTATTACAAAAACTTTAACATAAATTCTAAGTCAGAAAAGGGACATAATTCTGTCAAAATGCTTGATACAGTTACCTCCTCCAGTTGACAGGTTGGGGTAATGATGGTAAGCAAATGTGCAAAGTTTCAAAGCCATATGTCAATGGACTTTGAAAATATTTGTGGTATTACAAAAACTTTAACATAAGTAGTTACGCAGACGCCGACGCTCGGGTAACTACAATAGCTCTATTTATTCTTATCGAATAGTCGAGCTAAAAATTAGTCATTTATTTGAAAATCCTTTGCTATTTCATTCTTAGTTTTATTCCCCTTCTCATTTGCTCATAAAATATCATATTCTCAATTGAATAAAATAATCTTTTTAAGCTCAGTTCTTTTCTTGAAAACCCTATTTAAATCAAGTAAAATATAGTAAAATACTCAATAATACCTGAGAATGTTCACTACTTTAGACAACACAAATTACAAAATTGTGTACAAAAAAGACACTATAATAAAATCCTTAAAACAAAGTAATGTTTAGTAAAATACCCAATTTCTCCTTCATGCCTTATACCAACACATACACAGCCATCATCATATTTGGTGCAACGCCTTGATCTGAAAGATCACAGGGGTAACAAAACAACATTATAACCTCATGATTTTAACATCTACAATATTTTTTTTACAAATTACTTTCCAACTAAACAGACAACTTTAATTAAAGTGCAAGGAGTAGCAAACTGACATCATGAATAAAACCACTGACCTTCCAGTCTAACTAGCTAAAGACAATCAACTGTAATTCTCAACTGAATAAAATAATCTTTTTAAACTCAGTTCTTTTCTTAATGAAAAATCCATTTAAATCAAGTAAAATACTCAATTTTACCTGAAATTGTTCACCAATTTAGACAACACAAATTACAAAATTGTGTACAAAAATGTTACTATAATACATGTAATAAAATCCTTAAAATAATGTTTAGTAAAATACCCAAATTCTCCATCATGCCTTATACCAACACACACACAGCCATCATCATATTTGGTGCAAAGCCTTGATCTGAAAGATCACAGGGGTAACAAAACAACATTTTAATCTCATGATTTTAACATCTACAATATTTTTTACATATTACTTTCCAACTCAACAGACAACTTCTTGTTATTTGATGGTTTAAAGCTATGAGCCAGATGAAAGTGCAAGGAGTAGCAAACTGACATTATGAATAGAACCACTGACCTTCCAGTCTAGCTAGCTATAGACAATCAACTTTAATTCTCAATTGAATAAAATAATCGTTTTAAACGCAGTTCTTTTCTTAATGAAAAATCCATTAAAATCCATTCAAATCAAGTCAAATACTCAATTTTACCTGAAATTGTTCAACAATTTACACAACACAAATAACAAAATTGTGTACAAAAAAGACACTATAATAAAATCCTTAAAATAAAGTAATGTTTAGTAAAATACCCAATTTCTCCATCATGCCCCATACCAACATATACTGTGACAGCCATCATCATATTTGGTGCAACACCTTGATCTGAAAGATCACAGGGGTAACAAAACAACATTATAATCTCATGATTTTAACATCTACAATATTTTTTTACAAATTACTTTCCAACTAAACAGACAACTTCTTGTAATTTGATGGTTTAAAGTTATATGCCAGATGAAAATATACCATTAAAGTGCAAGGAGTAGCAAACTGACATTATGAATAAAACCACTGACCTTCCAGTCTAACTAGCTAAAGACAATCAACTGTAATTCTCAACTGAATAAAATAATCTTTTTAAACTCAGTTCTTTTCTTAATGAAAATTCCATTAAAATCAAGTAAAATACTCAATAATACCTTAAATTGTTCAACAATTTTGTGTTCAAAAAAGTTACTATAATAAAATCCTTAAAATAAAGTAATGTTAAGTAAAATACCCAATTTCTGCCTCATGCCTCATACCAACACACACTTTGCAAATCTTGCACAACCATCCACATCCTCGTGTATCCACTCTAATTTTAACCCTCCAACCTCTTCTATTCAAAGGGAATATATTATTATAATTTTACAATTTGAAGAACCTGGGAGCTTCCAAGTACTGATCTACAAGTACAAAAAATATAGGTATTAAAACACAAACATATTAATTGATCAGTTTCATAATATATACAAGACTTCTAAACTAAACTAACTGTAATAAACATAGCATTAAAAGGAGTGGCTTATACATCAAACAACAGGTCTAAAGAGAGTGGGGAATGGGTGAATGAATGAATACACATTATAGCTATATTATAGGTGGGTAAGATAAAAGACAAATATTCATATCAAAACGGCAACGGCAACGCTGACCTGACTATAACAATACCTCTACCTTTTTTTTCCAAAAAAAAAGAGGCGAGCTAAAAACGCGCGCGATTACACAGACTGACCGGACTCGCATCTAAAATCATTGACCAGCATGAACGCATTTCTATCATTTAAACTAACATACTTTTATACATAAAAGAAATCTATAAACATTTTGACATTTTATATAGGAAGGGACAAAAGGAGAGCACATTAGGGTTATTTTATAGGTGGGTGTGATAATTTAAATTATAGTTATTAAATAGGTATTATGCAATTTCTGCACATTTAAAATCGCCAGTAAACGCAGCGCGAAGCCAGGCAGAATCGCATTTTAAAACAATTGGACGAGCACAGCCCAATTTCTAATTTCATAACATATCAACTAAAATAACACTAATACTATAAACATTTTGGCAGGAAATGCCCTAAAAAACAACAATTCAGTACCACTTTACATATCACTAAATGACTTTACTACTATCACTTATTTGTATATTTGTTAGTAAAGAGAGGTAGGAAATATATACACCAAATTCGTACATGTATAATATACATCTGACAGCACGCGGGAGATATTTTGTAAACAAAAACCGCCGATGTATGGAACGTCGCGCGGCTGGCCAGCTTGATCTAAAATCGACTTCTCAACCCCTTTTCAAACCTAAAAAGATCGCCTAAAATAACATATGTATCATAAATAAATGAACACTATAACAGCTAAAAATAGCATATCATTTCTAATAGAAAATTATCACGTGCAAATGTACGTACCTGGCTGTAAAAATAAGCAGGTACACAACACAGGCCGGTAGCTGGAAAATAAATTAAGAATTTAATCGACGCAATCCGTAAAAATCAACAAACTTACTTTCCTATCAGGGAACACCAGTCCTTCCATCTTCTCGGTACGGCTTTCCCTCCAAAAATAATGTTGGCTGTTGATAAACACTCAAATGGTCACGTGATCTTAAATGTGTGAAGTGGAAAATTTTCCGGCACTCTCCGCCGTACTTCGGAAAAAAATCGATTCTCTGACCTTTCCATTATTGAACAAGGGGGTGTCGAATGCATAGATTAAGCAATGTGAAAGGGTACGACAGGTGACAAATAACGTGGGTAAGAGTCGGTTTGCTTCATATATTTGTTGCATGTTGTACATTTTGTTCGAATAATAAAGAGCACGCGGAGCAGGCCATATACTTGTGTATTTCTCTTTTCTATCATAGGCAAAACTAAAAACACGTTCCCTGTTATCACAACATGAAACCCCAGAAAAAAGTAATCAATGAACGATCATCTGAATATGATATTTCTATCGCTATCCCATTCTTTGCCGTTCCAGATAAAATGAGCCAATCAATGGACATGCATGGAAACTAATACCTGCACTCCAGTTAACGAACTATGCATGTATATAATTATGTACATGATTTAAGTCTGGCACATTTTCAAGAGAAAGGTCACCAAAGTATGATACACATGAAGAATATATATCATGGTAAGGAGAAAGCTGTTGAGGTTATTTGTTTCTTCAAATGCCACCAGCAACCTGACAAACATTTTAAAAGAATACAATAATAAATATATTGAAACAGATACTTGATAAGTAAAAGCACTAATTAACGTGTTAACTAAAGAAGCAAAACTATAAAATCAAGAAAAAGAACGTAAAGAATTATTTGCATGTATCCCACAATATTTCCGTATTTCTTACTGTATGATTATTGTTCGATAAACTAACTGTACCCTTACGATGAGTGTTATGCATGACCGACTGATGTCTGTTCTCTGGGCATTAGTAATTAGTTACCGATATATGTTGAAAATAATGAACAATTACCTATAGCATATGCGTATGGTTATACTGGAACATACGATTTTGTTCAACATATATAGATATATTTACGCTTCAAACCCAAAATATTTAGAATTTAAACAAAAATTCATGCTGAAACTTCAAGAAATGTCATTTTAGCGTGATTTGAGTACATAAGAACATTTGAATATTTTTGTCATTATTTTGCCTGAATATCCCTTTAATAAACGAGTAAAAGAATTTTAATAAGTCAGTGGTTCAGTATAAAAAATCACAGATATATTGTCCACTGGTCTGATGCATATATATACATACAGAAATGTCACATGACAAATGGGTCGAAGCTGGAACTCTAACAATGGGTATGCAGGTTGATGACCAGTATGGCCATTGCAAATATGAATCTTAGTTGTTACACTATTTACAATTGAAAAAGACCACAGTAAGAAACATTGCATAAAAAAAGTTTTTCTAACCTTTAACATTCTTAACTCTATGTTTATTCCTTAAATGTCCTCTAATACCCAATACAGAATTGTATGACTTATCACACTGATCACATACATAAGTTTTTCTTTTATCATCTTTAGATTTTACACTTATCTTATCCTCATCATCAGAATTTTCATATTCACTAGCTGTAAATTCACCAAGAAAAAAATCTAAATCAATATCCTCAAAGAGAACAAAATCCGATTTTCCATATGCCATATTGCAGTGTATCAGTATGTATAAATTTCATATATGAACATTGCATCTTAAATGTTATCTTTTTATGAAAAATTTGAGTTATAATTTATAATTAAAACTGTCATTCAATAGCATATTTTAAAAGGGCATTATTGTGTGAAGTAAGAAAACAATCTATTCAAAAATGAAGATTAAAGCTAAATAAGAACATAATTACAAATATATGTGAAAAATATGTTTAAACATCAAAGATTATCAAAGGCCATGTTGAAAACAAACATGAATAAAACAAAGGTCAGACATTTTATCAAACCAAAAATTATTACATGTTATAAACATGTTTATTCTATAATTAATATAAACCATGTAATTAAAGCTATAATTGAAATTTAATAATTAAGTTATTTCTGAACGTATTTTAATTACAAAACGTAAATTTTCTATCATAATTAAATATGGTAAATTACTTTTCTGTATCTGTTTCATATTTATTAATATTAATATTTTTAAAATTGATCCAATGAAAAAAGTATTTAAGAAACCAACAACCTTTTTTTCCTACTATTTTGATTGCCCACCTCCCAAAATCACCGGAAAATTTATGCATGGAATATATCCGATCAACCCGGCATGTACCGTGATTACGGCGTTTAAACACGGCGCTTATCGATCGATCGATTCCAATTGGACACCAACATTGGCACTAATAAGAAAGCGCGAGTGACATATCCCGTTATAGTACATCCCAGGGTTATATAACACATCAAAATATTATTTAGCACTCCAAAATATTATATAGCACTCGAAAATAGACACATTTAAACTTTAGGACAGTTCAAACTGGAGAAAAAGTCTTCCCGCTCTGATACGATGAAACACTAAATCGACATGTGTTTTCTGTGTGTGTGCGTGCGTGTGCGCGCGGGTGTGTGTTCTTGACAAAGCTTCATACTAAGGATTGTGGAATGTTTGTTACAAGCCCTGTTTAACGAAAGATATGTTGGACATGGCAGTGCACATTGGCCTTCTTTATGTGTAGCATCTTGCCAGAGTTTAGTCTTAAGCTCGTATGTATGTGAAACATGTTGAATGAAAATTTCACCAAGACATTCCACCAGTTAGCCAGAAATTGAGAGAGGAAACCATATATATAATGTATTAAGATTTTATAGTGATTTTATAAGATTTTTTTTTAAAAAACATAAACCCCAACAAGAGCTTTTTTTATTATTCTATTAAACAATAAAGTACATATAGTTAGCAAAATTAACATATATAGTATTCAAATTTAGTAACAATATATACGAAACACAGTCGAATTTTAGCACAACGAAATTGTACATCAGAACTGCAAACTATCCGAATGGATATACACATTATAGCTCTTATAAGTTCACTATTGCCTTGGTTATTTGCTCAAATCCAAAATGAAATTAAATAAACTATCAAATTCTTTCTTTTGCACGCCATTGGTTTTATCCTAAATCTAACAACGGCAAAATCTGTCTTTCTGCAACCTTGTAACGCATTCTAGATAGTACATGACACTCCCAATGACGTTTTCTTTTTTTCTAACTGCCTCAGAACTCCTTTCTTAAGTTCATGGAATCAGAAACATTTTATTGGAATAAAACACTTAAGTGAAGAAGGATAAAATTCAGTTATGATAAATAGTTTACCTATTCAATGCAAAGAAAATGTTCAAGTTTCAGACAATGGGAGTTAAATTAAAATTCTGTTTCGCGTTTTCGATAAGCTGCATACAATTTGAAGTCATTTACTTCAGATGTGAAAAAAGAACAGAAAGTCTACAGGGTGGATAAAAATATTATAACAAACTTTAAATATCAAAGGGAATTTAAATCTTGAAATAAAGGTGACAAATTATTTGAGTATTCATAAGTATATGCAAGGTAAATGACGTCAGTCACAAGAAGAAACGGCGAGAAAACGGAACTGTTCAGCATGATCCTATTAAAGATCAATTCAAGAAGTTTGATAACGGTTTTAAGTAATAATTACAACTACCAAATTTTTCAAACCTTTTGCAGCGCACAGTAAATTTATTGTACCAAAACTCATCGTACAGATTAATTTTCGGACAACAAGACGTCAATGAATATCTTTGCACAAAAGCATCTGCTATGCAACGCTATTATGAGTATTTAGATAAGTTGCAAGTAGAACTTGCATTCACGGTATGGGATCTCATCATTTTTTCACCGACACAAAATCAGTTACAGCCAATTTACCTTCAACATCTTTTTTACTATGATTTTGAGATAATATGTGTAGGTCAGAGCCCAACATGATCCACGTAAAATTTGAGATTTGATAGTAAATGACTCTAGCAATTTTATAAAATATACCCACGCTGACGGGTGTAAACATGCTAAAATCCTCCATGACTCCGTATCGTACCTTTTCACCTCGCTTAAAAAGTATCGTTCCTCTCTCTATTCGTTCGACACCCCCTAAAAATAATAATAGACTTAACCACGCAAATTGACGGTAGTGAAATTCACTCATCTGATAATTAGAACTGGACAGATTAGAACGTGTGGAGATTTATACACGAGGAAAGTATTCTAATAAACAGATCTCAACTTTGCCTACAGCAAAAGAAACATGTGATATATTGAATCGAATGTATTTGATTCAAATTACTTTGCATTGAATAGATCAGGTTATATTAGAGTAAAAACTATTCCCGTTAAAATTAAGTCGCATCCTCCTGTTGCTGTGCGGCGACATCGCAATGCCAAAAGCGAATTCATTCTAGTTCTTCTAACATGATGTTGCATGACATGGCAGTGTCATTTCACTTTCAATCATTGAGGATTCTATCTTTACAGACATTTTACAAAAATATACTCTCCTATTAAAAAACGCATGAATTCACCTTCAAAAAGCGATTAATAGCCAGAGTATTTCTATTTGAAAGACCCAGTAATTACACAAATACACGGTTTCCGTAGAATGTATAAAATTTACAAGTTCGTCAGATTATTAGAATATGTTGTGCAATTTTTGTAAATGCATACTTTGCGTCGAAAAACATTATGTGCATTACAAAACAAAATTGCATTGTGAATAGTATTTTTCCACTGTTTTTTATACCGACCATGTAAAACCGCGTGAATTTTGTGCAAATCGACTTTTAGAGCATGGGTAACTCTACGCGTGCCATAAATGGCATTGTGAACTACTGATATAATTGGTGGATACAGCAGCTCCCTTACGAGCGCTTTCATTTAATGTTAGACAAGCATGGAATAAGAGATAGAAAATATAAACTTATGGTAGACTTAATATGACATCTGCAGTGATTTTTACCGAGATTATTATTAGACCGGTTCCGGCGCAGTTCCGAACAATCAAGCGAGCTATTCGCGTAACCGACAATAAATATAGAAAATATAGAAAATATTCACTGGTTTTGTAGTTTATTCACATTAACAAATAAATAATTAAATCATTATTCTATTTCGGCTTCCTATAATTTTCGTCTGATTATTAAATCTACATTAGGCGAAAATGCTAAATTTCATCTCGCCAATCTTATTGGTTATCTGCCTTACAACTTCATCCAAA